CCCCCCCCCCCCCCCCCCCCATAGTAGGTGGACAACAACTTTTTGCTCAACATGATAAACAGAAATGAGATGTTGCCACCAGGCAACATTGCAATGATTGACAGGGGGAGATAATACCATTAAAAAATTAGTATGCATGCTAAGACTGTTCCCGTCCATTCTAATTACTTCTACCATATTTCACATACCCAGTGACACTTTGAGTATTCCTCCTAAAGAAATGTTCTTGCATTACTTTAAATATACTCAATCAAAATTTCTTACCTGTAACACAGAATGAAGTCTGTCCCTTGCTTGCGTGACAGTTGATAGGCTGGTGTAACTCTTGTCACTGATGTAAGAGACTTGAGAAGCACTCCAATTCTGTTATAAACTGTGTATGTCACCTTGGTATTAGGATCAATCCTAAAAGAAAATTCTACGTTTCACTATAATGTTATGGTTCTTTAAAAAACCTCAATAGTCTTAAGTTTTCTATAAAATCAAGTAGTGTTGAAAATCATAATTTTTATCTGATCAGTACCTGTCATTCATACTAAGGCACCATGTCTCCAATAACATAGATTCTCCCTGTTTTAATAAAAGGAACAACAAACCATTAGCAATGTTGGTGAAATGCTGTTTTTTTTTTAACTCTTTTTATTTCAAGTCCAAATTGTTTATTAAGCATTTTGTTATTACATATTATTATTATTATTATTACAACAAAAAGAAAACCAGTTTTCACTCCAAAAAACAAATGATTTAGTCATTACGTCATGCGGTAAAGAGCATGTCTCTTTAGAGTAAAAGTATAATTAACAATTGGTTCATACGTTAGCATGTGTTCATAAAAATATGAAGCATGCAGGAAGTTTGGAGAGCATGAAAGATGTGTAAGAGTTGCTCGAGGCTATGCCTCGAGCAACTCTAGCTTCTTGAGTGCTCTCCAAACTTCCCAAGTGCTTCATATCTCGATGAATGCACGCTAACGCATGAACCAATTGTTTTATAACATTCTCAACCCAATGGAAAATTTTTATTCATGAGGGATTTGTTTGCTGACGTCATGTCCATGCACAATAGGAATATGAAGCAAACTCGCGCAATTGAATTTGATTGGACAAATTTACTAGCTATGTTATAATAAATTTTGCTCTATAAAACTGCTTAATCCTTTACACCCAACATCAGTATGCATATTCTCCATACTGTTCTCTATACATTTCCTAAGGTGCTGATAAGGAGAGTTTTTCAATCAAGAACATCTCTAGTTGACAATCATTTCCTTTATTCTCATGACCTTAATGTCTGATTCAGGTGGGATAATTTGTAAGGAGAAATTGGATTCTAATCACTCTTAAGAGTCAAAGGGTCAAATATCCAGATTTCAATTTTGTTCTAGTTTCTTTAGCAGTGACTTTTTACATTCCATTCCCTGTTTTTAACAGGAAACTGAAGATCTATGTACAACAGTATAATGTTAAGGCTCTTACATCTCTAGACTTCAGAGATATCTCCACACACATGGCACTGTCTTTAGAAGGAAGCCTTCCATTTATCATCACTTTTTTTACCTCTGATGTTACATCTGGGTTATCGTTTATTGCTAGATTGAACTGAAAAGAAATGTTCTCAAAAAATTAAAATTAGGAAAATTAAGTAAAGATAAATAAGATATAATAATTATATCTTATTTATCTTTACTTAATTTTTTATAATGACGAAGAATCCTCCAGAAACCACCATTAAAATATTCTCTTCTCCCTCCCATTGAAGTGTGCAGAAAATTGATTATTACCAACAATTTGAGATTCCGAAGAGTAATTTAACCATTAGAAAATATTGCTTTAACAATTATCTGAGTTAAACATGCCTTTTTTGGTTTAGCTCCTGAAATTATGGTAAAAAAAAAAACAGATTGCCAAGAGATGAAAGGTAAAGAAGTAAGGTGTCAGACTTTGTTACACCACAAGTGAGCCACCTTGTTGTGAAGCAGGAATCAAAATGATGGGCCAGAATTTGTACAAAGTTTCCTCACATTTCAAGACAATCTTTGAATACTTTGATCTTTCTAAATGGAATCTCAAAATGCTGTAAGTGCAATAAATTGTTATACTGTTTAAATGTTCCAAGTAAAAAAGATTATGGTTTGGCTAGTAAGCTGAAAACTATATCAGTTTTCCTCTAAATATCTGCTGTATTAATTGTCAATGGTTTCAAGTGTTCTACCATTTATATGGTTTTCTAATGATCCAAAATTTAGTATAAGTAATAAGCACACAAGTAAATTTTTCAAAGACAACAAAATTACAGCAGCTCACAAGGCAAGTGCAATTTGTAGTCATTTACAAGTGCTTATTACACCAAACTGCATCAGAAATCATGCTATAACTTGTTAATAAAGTACATGAAAAAACATCGCAGAAAGTCAAGAGAGATGAAATTTTAAAAGCGTGCACATGCTATTCTTAACTTTACACTCATGTTACATGAGAATGCATTTGTTTTCAGCCAATCAGAAGCACGTAATGTTTTCATGCACATTATTATACTGTTTACCAGGTTTTAAACCTTACCCAGTCTTGGCCCATTGCAGTAGGTTTAGACTTGGTATGAATCTTTTCTCCTAGACGTGACTGAACAATCACTTGCACTGCCTTAAATAAAAGAAAAATATCTTAGATAAAAAACATAAACTTTTAACTGACTATCAACTGCTCTCAGCAGATTAAGAACTAGATCCCATGCTGCCGTGCATCTGTTCAGTAAGACAATCCAACCTGTATTGACCAGCTTTAACTCCCAAGATCTGATTGGTAATTCTCCCCTCTAACTGCTACACATATCCTTGTAAATTAGTAATGAGAAGTTGTTGGTAGATCAAGTCAACAACTTCTACCTTATATGTTTGAATATTCTCATTAGCTGTTGGCTGGATAATGTAAGGATATCATTGGGGGAAGTTTCATATTGATCACTTCTGGAAGTTAAAGGGTTATGTGGCACTGTATTAAGTGGTCAACCTGTATTAAGTAGTCAGTAGTCAAAGTAACAAATTTTCTCCCCTTTAACACTGTAATTTTCACCTCTATTAAGCTGCCCTGGTTACCTTTTACTGACTCACAACAGCCTGAGCAGAACCATTCAAATACTACTCAAGCTTTAGGACTATATCTGTTTCAACATGTTTCAATACTGTTTCACCTTTCCAGGAGCAAAGCTAATTGAAGAAGACTGTTAGAGCTTTATTATTACTCTTTGGTGCAATTTCAGTTTCATTAATTTGTCTTAGACTTCTCCCAACACACTCTCTGTTTCTCCGAGCATAAATTTGAGAACAATGACATCAGCTTGAAATTAATTATATTCAAAGAATAAGCAAGGAATGACACGGGAGCTGAAACCTCTCTATCTAATTTCCATTGGGTTTCAGTTTCAGCCCTCATTTATTTATGTCTAGTGGGTTTCTGAAGCTAACAGATCTAAAACTGAGCCCATCGTTGTAGTTCTCGAACATTGCCGACAAAAATTTAAAGAATCACTACTATAAAAAAGTGTATTGGTAATATTAAGATGTATCATCATTGCTAGAATGATAGAAAAAATGATCATGAACAAAATTCGGGCATTTAGCTTCGCCATATTGGAAGCTTTTGCATCCGTCACAGACGCGACACAAATACCCTTTAACATACCGTCAGAGTTTCATTGGCGCTAGCTCCGCTTCAGTGATATACAAAACGTTTTCACTCTCACTTCGCCCGCGGGCTAAATATTCAAGAATTCAGGGGCAAAATCCTTCTAATTTTGGGTAATGTTAGCCTTAAATTAACACGCTTTTTACTTCACATTTTTAACAGGCAGTTTTGTGTACTTACATTTTGGTTCCAAAATCATAACACTGAACATATGCCGACAAGAATTACGTTTTCTCCGTTTGGGGTACTCACAAAAATCTACCACCGAAAATGTATTGAATAAAGTTCTTATATTTCCTATTATTTTTAGCTAAAAGTAAAAACTGGCAAAACCATAACCAAGTTTACAAGCGTCAGAAATCTAAAAAAAAACAAAACAAAACATGCAAACCCCGTACCTTCTGCGATAGAAATTTCAAAAACTTCTTGAGATCTCTCTCTTCTTGTGCACCCAGAGACCCAGATTTCTCCTCCATATCAATCGTAAAAGACTATTAGAATTTAGCCCACTGCGGAATACTGTACGAGGAATTGTCAAAAAATACGAAACTACAGAACACATCCCTGCTGACGACCACCAGTTTCCGCCATCATATAGGAAACAACTCTAACTAGTACCAGACTGTCAACGGCCTATGCGCGAAACGTGGCAGGTAAACGTTGACGTAGAAATGGGTTACGGGTGGGGAGACTCGGGCGGTGATTAGCAGTGAGGTTGCCTGCATGACAGGAGACTGAAATGCTGGGCTGTGTCATTTCAGCTATGAAACATTATTGAATAAAGTTTATTTTGCTATCTCCTGCTTTTAGAGTTTAATTCGCTTCGACCGGTTTCAAGTTTTGCCTATTTTCGAAAAAATCTATAACATATAATTTACGTATTTTCTCCCGAAGGCATCACGTTACACCTACTACGTTGTGTTCGTACATTTTGATTATTTTATTTCAATTATACCAAAAGTTTCTAAACTACCTGAGAGGGTGGATCATTTAGGACTACTTAATACATCATAACTAAAAACAATTGTTGAAAATAATCAGGGATTGCCAACCTCGTTCCCATGGCCGTTTCCCTTACTTGCGGAAGTAAGGGAAAAGGCCATGGGAACGAGATTAAGAGATTGCATACATTTTTTAACCCTCCAATTGAAAGAGACAAAAAGTTAGTCTCAACTTGGTCACTCGCCATTTCCCGCGTTCAGGCGATTACCTCCTTCTGATGTTCTCCTTTTCTTTGGTTGGCTGTTGCAATTAATTAGACTGCAGTTTTACCACAGTTGATCGGAAAGCGCTCAATACTATATAGAGCCCTAACCTCTTATCGGAGCATTAGTGATGTAATGATGAGGCATTTATACAATACATTATCTATTTACGGGCGGATGCTTTATGGCATTGATTGGCCACAGATAACTCTTTGGGAAGCTAAGAAATGTTCATACTAAAAATGCATTCTGAAAACTTCTTGAATCAGACCTGCTGGACCTGTTTCAGTCGAAGAACGAAATGCGGTAAGATCTGAGCTCACTGATGATGAGTCTCCTATCAGCGAGGGATTATAAATTTATATGCTATACAAATGATACATTTGAAACCATTTACATCTTTTTTGTAAGCGAAAGGGAGGAAGAAATAAAGCTTTCAGATGGTATTCTACTTCTTGCATTGCATGGCATGTAGTTTGTTCTCCTATTTAAGTGAGTCAAAAAGCATTTGATGCACACCAAAACGTTTTTTAAGCAACCTCCCATGCCACACACACTCGGACACTTCCATGGTTTTCTTGTTTCCACGAAGGTCGCATCCAAGCGTTGTATCATGCAACGTCCTTTTCGCGAATTCATCATAAATTTTCTTTGCAAAATGTTTGCAATTATTTACGTTCCAAAAGTACGTCTTGTTCAGTTCGTCTTCTTCATGAAGAAACTCTAGAAGATCCTTCATGGTTTTCTGTCCGACGTCAGAGCTGACTCGAAGTAATGGAGTTTTCCTCTTGTTGTTGTTTGCGCAGTCGAGGACTCCACCATATCCCTTGAAGTGTTTGCTTCTCTGAATGAGAATTACTTCCGAGTTCTTCTCAATGGACCACCACCAGTTCTTTGTTTTAATCACGACAAACTGGTGATTCAAAAATAGCTGAGTACGCTGCCAGTCGGAAAGCGGAGACTTGAACACCCAAATGTTCAATATATTCTCACTAAAGTCGATCAGTAGACTCATGGTCTGAACCAACACGTCATGGTCAATTAAGTAAATGTGACCACGCCCTCTGTTGTCACATAGCCACTCTTCCGCGCTCCTAGAGCACAGCCAGTCTCTTTTTATTACGTACTCCAGTGCAGAAGAAGGCTTTTCAGATTTGGAATAAAAACTCACGAGTTTTCTCCAAGCTCCGCCTGTGGTTCGAGACATTTCCAAGTGAAACCTGAAACGTGAAGATCTTGAATTTAGAACTTTCACTTTCCACTCCTAGGGAGGTGCGCACAAACCGTTTTAGATAATAAGTAGCTGTGTACTCAAGTGAATCGAAATTTTAACCAAAAATTTCAGCATACTGCTCTTTAAAGTATCAGTTACTATTTGTCAGACAAACAGGCTCGCCCCTTAGCTTTGTAACATTCAAATAGCAAAGCTCGAAATCGAAAATGTTCTCAATGGGGAGAGGTGTCGAAAACCCGGCCTCGACTCCTATTTGTCTTTGAGAAAGAAAAAAAAATAGTATAATGAGTGTAAATATATTCTTATTATTATGCATCACTCATGCAAGTGTTTCAGTGAATGATGAGCGTATAGCGGTTAATAGAACGTTACGCATGGCCTGCTGAACGTCTGGGCCATACTTACTCGGCGGAAGTTTCAATTACTTTTTCCACTAGAGGCTGCCTCCGGAACTTCGGGAAAATCGTTTTGTAGTTCGCCCACATTCGCTCATTTTTCTAGGGTAAAAAAAGTTGTGAGTCGCAGTTTATGTGACATGATTGTTATTTGCCGCCCATCGTGTAACGCTGATAAGTTTTATGTTTCTTACACAACGTATTTTGCAATTTTGACGCCAGTGAATGTTCTGCTGACAGTAGTCTTAGGGGTGCGGGGGCGCCATGGTCCTGGCCTCGCTTTGAAGGATGTTTGATGGCGGCTGCCATCTTCCGTCTCCAATTTAGCCCGAGAGGACCGAATATCCACCATCGCGTCGCGATTGGCACCGGTAGCTAGTTTCCTGCAACCCTAAAACGGTACAAGTCGGATTACACAGTTCTGGTCAGTCATCAAGTGAATATTCCGCTTGCATCGGACCTGAGCCTAGGTGCTTGTGAAGTGGGCTGTGTCAGATTTGAAGACTGATATTGTGGAACACTATACTACTCAACCAAGATGCCCGCGGTAAAAGGAGAGGGAATGAGGGGCTTAGCCGTTTTCATTTCTGACATTAGGAACTGTAAGTGACAGTAAAAATTTTCATCTTTCTAAGTTTCTCGAAGGTGTTTTCATTTTTGAGTCTGTGTCGCGTTTGACACGTGTGTCTTGATCGGTTGAAATCAACTATGTGATCGTTCTCAGCGTTTCGCTTCATCGCGGCATTCTGTCACACGCGGGATTCAAACATCCCTTATTGTTTCAGGTAAATCTAAAGAAGCTGAGATGAAGCGGATAAACAAGGAGCTTGCAAATATTAGAAATAAATTCAAAGGTAAGTTTGCGTATTTACGAAACCGTACGTTCAAATCGAACTTGGTAAGTTTTCGTTATGAACTAATCTCATCGGAAGATGGAACGTGTTCGGTTTCCATTTCATACTTTTTTTTGTTTTCCTCAGGCGATAAGCAGTTAGATGGTTACCAAAAGAAGAAGTACGTTTGCAAGCTTCTGTTTATATTTCTTCTTGGCCACGATATCGATTTTGGTCACATGGAAGCCGTGAATCTGCTATCGTCTAACAAGTATACGGAAAAACAAATCGTAAGTATTCCCAAGCAATATGGAAGCGCCCCTTAATTATTTTGATTTACACGAGTTAAAAATGTTTGCTTTTTGAAGCTGCCATACCAGACCAACTTAAACATTTAACGCGGATTTCAAACTGTGAAAGCACTCAGGGAGGATATTTTCGCTAGATTAAACACCAAATTTTGATTCCACTATGGGTTAATCAAACCGCGATCTTTTAATATTGATGAACAACCGAAAGTTCCCATTTTCAAGAAGTAAAAGTACATCGAAACTTTTTACATTTGGTCAGGTACTGCCGGTATTTAAAGCGTCTGCACGACAGTTGAGGTGAAAAATCAATCAACAGCGGCAAAGCTAATTTCACCTTCGATTCACCTATTTCATGCATTTTTAACGGTTTCCCATAGATACTTAAATTTTAACACCATTCAAATTTTGTTCCCTCAGATAATCTTATCACAGGGTTATTTTCTGTGTATTTTTGTTAAAGTTGAATTTATAGATACCTTAATTATAAGATATAATTTTGATTATACCGTGTACACGAGTTTTTAAAGGTACATGTATTTACATGTTCCATGCTCTTGGACTTTCTTTGTAAATTAAATGCAACTGGCCCTAGAAAATAACTTTTTGTGCCTTTCAAGTAGATCTTTCATTTATTGTTAGGGAGTGTCAATATTTTTTAATACTTTTATTGCAAGTCAAGAGTTCAGAAGAGTTTCAACATCACCCAACTTGTAACTTAAGAGCAATAGCCTGGAATTTTCCACACAGGGTATTAGTCTTCCATGTCGTGTATTGCCATAATGGATTTCCTCCAAAGATTTCTCATTCTGCTTTAAATCTCCCAAGTAAGGCTAGGGTAGTTTGAATTCTCTAGATTTTGTGTATCTTAAAGTGCTGCAATTTAAGGTGCTTTTAAAAAATAGCAATGAAAAAGTCATAGCTTTAAGCACTAGGAGCCATTTGCAGCAGGATGACAAACTGTTTTTGTGTCATCTTGACAAACATTTCCTCAAATGTGACTACTCAAAATGCTAATCTTGAGAGAAACTTATTAAATTCTTTTCAGTTTGATTTTTGTCATCCCAGAGTAAAGGTAGTGTTGCTGGTATTCAGAAAGCGGTATTTAAATTAAGCAAGGAAATTTTGCCACTGGGACTTCAGAGATGTCGATTGTACCTTTGAAATAAAAATAAAAATTGTTGTATTGATTGGTTGCATCCCAAGCTAAAAGGCAAAATTAAACATTATCTATGCTCAATGCCCAGATGCAACCTAATCATAAAAATCAAGTAAGCTTCTGTCACAAAATCATAAATTTTGTTGATCCTTGGAGATGAAAGGTTGTGCCCAGAGTTGACTGCCATGGCATTTGGTGAGCTTTCACACAATTTATTAAAGGAAGGAAAACAATGAGGTACATAAGAAAATTTAACTTGCTCTTTTTTTTTAAACTTTTTGGTGTTGATTATTTTAAAGTTAGATATGGATTTGACATCATAAAAACATATAATATAAAGTATACTCAGTCTCAAACACCCTTGTTAAACAGGAAAAATTGTAGAGAAGTCTATTTCAATATTTTTCACAATATGAAGTGACTATGGTATTAAATGTATTTTGATTGAATTAGTCACTGAACCTTTCAAATTTTTAGGTATGGTGTTGTGGTTAGAACTGTGCAATGTTTTGCAGTTGACGAAGCCAACTGGCATCTGCCCTACACACCTGTTCTCATTTAAAACAATTCACAAATTTTGACATTGTTATCAGACAAATTTAAATATTTGATCAGATACTTTGTCCCTTAAAAAAAGCATTCAAGAGAAATTTGTATCCATTGTATTAAATTGTGCCCACATGTAATCTGATTATCTTCTTTTCACTACGACAAGCTAATGGAATAGCTGTAATAAGCAATAAAAACAGTTACATTAAAATTTATCACCCATAAGGAATAGCTGAGTGACAGCTTAATACGGGGTTACTTCCCAATGCAAATTCCACAGAATTATTCATAATTTTGTTTTAGTGGTTTTATTTTAACTCTTTAAACCCTAACATCAGTATCCATGTTCTCCATTTTCTTCTCTATACATTTCCTTGAGTACTGACATGGAGAATTTGTATAACAATCAATGCTTCTTTGGATAGTGATTATTCTCTTTATTCTCATGATCTTAATGAAAGATTCAACCATATATCTGTACGGAGAAATTAGATGTTGGTCACTTTCAGGGTTTCAGAGGTTAAGGTACTGTTAAATACAGGTCAAGATGATTGAGAGAAGAGCAGTTGAAACTTTACAAAGATGGCTGTAACTGCTAAGTAGAGGTCAAAATTACTATGATTAATAATGGTAATTGAACTAATTGAGGGGAGTGCAATTTGGGCTGAAATCATACACGTGATTTCCAATTCGAATGAGCGCGTAGCGTAAGTTCGATTTGAAATCACAAGTATGATTTCAGACCAAAATTACACGACACGAGGTTCAATTACCACTTTATCACATCCATTTTGAAATCGCCCAAATACAGGACTTGGTCATTTCAAACATTTTATTGATGCAGTACTGAGCGGGACTGAAATTAAATTCATCCATTTTTTTTTGGGGGGGGGGGGGAGTAAGAGTTTTGGAAACAGAATTTGCCACATGATACTCTGTCATTCATTTTTCTGCAATTTGATCAGTTACTTTAAACAAACCTTGAAATCTGATCGGTCGTTTCATTTTTAGTATAGCCTCCTCGTTGCCTGGGAAAAAGATGCGATTTAAAGCAAAAATTGGTGCAATTCATGAATAAATCACACCAATTAGAGCCAATCAGATTACAAGGACCACCAGTGATTTCAAAATGGGTGTAATAAAGGTAGAAACTGGGCTCTTTGACAAATAACCATTTATTAGAGGTTTGATATTACTGCTAAATAATGACTGGCTAATACAAGTCCAACTGTAACTACTATGGGCTAGATTTTCTGTCTCCTTCAATCTGTTTCCTGAATGATTGAAATTTGAATAGTATTGCTTAATACTTGTGTATTTTTTCTTTTATATTCAGGGGTACCTTTTTATCTCAGTCCTTGTGAGTGCAAACAGTGAACTCATCAAGCTGATTATCCAAAGCATCAAGAATGACTTGTCCAGTCGCAATCCCATCAATGTCTGTCTTGCTCTACAATGCATTGCAAACATTGGCAATGAGGAGATGGTAGAGGCAGTCGGCAAAGAAGTCCCCAAGTTATTAGTCTCCCCCGACACTAATGACAGTGTGAAGCAGTGCGCTGCACTCTGTGTTCTGAAACTCTTCAGGCTTAAAACAGATATCTTGCCTCCTGGAGAGTGGACATCAAGAATAGTTCAACTGTTAAATGATAAGCATCTGGTGAGTGAATGGTTGTTTAGCCTTTAAAATTGAAGAAATCCATTTTCTTGCCTTCTAGAGAAAATGACTTAATCCTTTCACTCGTAAGATCTGATTCTTAATTCTCCCCTTTAGCTACTAAACATTTCCTTGTAAATTAATTACAAGAATGTGGTGTTAGATCAAGATAACAACTTCTACCCGATGAGTTTGATTATACTCAGTACCTGTTTGCTGGATAATATATAGATATTTTAGAGAGAAGTTACATGTTAATCACTTCTGAAAGTTAAAGGAATAAAGAGTGTGTTTGCCCCAGGAGACAAAATTGCTTCCCCATTGAGATAGCTGCTTTTTATGTTCAGACTTTGTTCGATATTCACTGGCTAAATGTGTGTGATTTACATTCTCATGAGAATGAGAGGATTTTATATCAGTTCAGTTAGTCAGTGATGGTGTGATTCAAAGTGAACTTAAACCCACTTACCAGTAATTACAGTCTTTCAAAAGTACTTTTATGTACTGTTATTTTCATTACAATAAGTACACTGTATATTGACAAGCAAACAAGCAATGAGAAATAAGAAAATATCTCTGAGGGAATTTGTCTAGTTGAAACACCAGATTTCTAAGAATAATTCATCTAGAAAAACGTAACCATCATTTGGGAGTATTGGGTTTTGATTCTTGATCTCAGGAGGCAGAAGAAATTTGCTTATGGTGATTGTTTTTTGCGGGTCATTTTCTCTTGTACATTTCTGCTTTGACTACTGAGACCTCTATGTGAGCAGTTTTATGCTCTGTTTTTAGAGAAAAGCTTTTTTTGTTTTGAAATGTCTGAAAGTTGCAATTTGGACTGGCATTAATGTGATTGTTTACCCACTAGGGTGTGGTAACCTCAGCAGCCAGCCTTATCCATGGATTTGTCCATTATTTTGCGGACGAGTACAAGGGTTGTGTTCAGCTGGCAGTCTCAAGACTTAGTAGGGTAAGAGTATTACAGCATGCTATACCTTCTGGTTGTTCATAAAGCTGTAGTGTTCATGCATTCCATAATTCTGCACAATGACCATCTGACCTTTTGGACTGTTTTATACTCTGACATAACAAACATTGATTTCCTTTTCAATAGATTGTGACATCATCTTACACGGACCTTCAAGACTACACCTACTACTTTGTTCCTGCTCCATGGCTTTGCGTCAAGCTTATTAAACTTCTCCAGATGTACCCTCCTCCAGGTGATCAGTTCATCTTATTCTTTGTGATCCAATTGGTTCAGATTTGTTGCCAAAATATACTGCTGGTGGCAATGTGCTATGTATTAAGATACATGATACTGATAGCATACTGCAAACAAACAAATTAATTTGTTGCAAGCTAAAACTTAGAAGTTAAACTTGCTGGAGGAAAATTAGCCTGTACTGAAGGTGTTTTATTTGGAACATAGGTTAGCATTTCTGGCTTGCGATCATTCACCAAGCTGCCATATTTGATGAAGTGATGAAGGGTTAGAGTGGAAGATTGTTGGGGGGCGGGGAGGGGTTCTCTTCTCAACTTTCGCTCTACTTTTAAAATTGAAGATAGTATAGAAACCTTTTGCTTAGAATTACTGGGTGTTCCCTTGCTCAAAATAGATGTACAGGAAAACTGGGAAATAGATTGTTCGAGAAAAATTCCATTCTTGTTTAGCTGAAGTCAGCAATTTTTCATTTTGATTTTGTTTGTGAAGGACTGCCTCCTAACTGAATTTTTGTTTTTTTACCCAATTCCTGTTTGTTCTTGTTAGATGACCCTGCTGTCTTTGGGAGGCTAAATGAGTGTTTGGAAACCATTCTCAACAAGGCTCAGGTATGTTTTTTTTGCATTTCCATGCAACAGTGCTTATGTTACATCATACTGCTTTGAAATTAATCCTCTCTTAATGTTGCTTGCCTTACTCAATAAAATAACAAAATTTTCTTATTTCTTAATTTTTTGCTGAATAGACCTCTGTAAACATTGATTGTTATGTGGCCAAAAAAGGAATTAAGAAATATAGGGACTGGAAGTTGTAGCTACAATTGGCGACAAATTGTTGACACGATCTTTTCAAACCCTCATTACTTCAATTTTATCTCCTTTGCCTTCTTTAAGTTAACCCAGTGCCCCCTTTCTTCCCCTCCCCCCCCCCCCCCCCCCCCCCCCCCAAAAAAAAAAAGATGGTGTATCATGACTCCATGATTTTTTAGCTAAAACTGAATGGGGAAGGGGGATCTTGTTGATGATTTTGAGTGTGGTAGAAACAGGAGTGTTATTCTACGCATAAAGAGAACTTATCAAACACAATGTGTCAACTAATTTTAATGCTGAATGTAGCTTTAAGTCCAAGTTTTGAGCTCAATGTTTTTTTTCTTTCTCTCACTCTCTTTCAGGAACCACCCAAATCAAAGAAAGTTCAGCATTCAAATGCAAGGAATGCTGTCCTCTTTGAAGCAATCAATTTGATTATACACATGGACAGGTAACCAGCAAAGTTTCTTTCTTGCATGGAGAGCAATAACAACTTTTGAGTTGAACTCTGATGTTGCCATTCCCTTAGTTATTTAAGTTTTCAGTTGAGTAGGTTAAAGGATTTATTTAAGTGGGCCCTTCACTTGAGCCACTCAGTAGACAACATTACCCCCAAACACCTGAATGTCACAGAAATTAGTTTTATGAATGAATTGCCAAGCTGGAAAACCCAAGGTTAGGAGTGTTGAATTAATGGTGTTGCCAAAACTTGTGTTCTAGCCAATAGCACTATCTGATTTTCAGCAAAGTGACTAAGTTTCATATTGTTTTGTTGTGTTTATAGTGAGCAAAGCTTGTTGATAAGAGGCTGTAACCAACTGGGTCAATTTTTGACACACAAGGAGACCAACTTGAGGTATGATAAGTTTGGTTCTTTTTATGAGAACATGCATGCATGGGCCATCAAACATCATAAAATACCAAATCAGATTATATCATAGATGGGATTATAGATGGGCACCCCATGCATAGTAGGCATCAGGAAGTTGCTTGAAGCCCTAAACAGCCTTTTCCAATATATTTTGCTTATGGATGGTGACAAATTATTCTTCATTGCTTTAGATTCCAATAAACTTAGCCATGTATTTCATGTAACAATTATATATGGATGGCATTTCTGAATGCCTTTGCTATTATAGAGTGGCTCAAGATCCAAAACAACAAACTCTTGCCAATTTTGATTTTAATGATATTTATATGTTCTTTGAATTGTGAAATATTGTTTTTATTTTGGGACATTCCAGTGTACTCAGTGACATATATCAAGTAAAGAATGACATGGATTTGTGCATGTTTTTGTTATTGGACTTGTGGTTACCACCCATCACCTCAGTACCTCAGGGTTGTAAAAATAAACCAGCAACTGGCACATTCCATTGTCTGTTCAGAAAAATGCCCCAGCTGTTCCAAATACTTATGGCTCAATTTGGAACATAAAAGAATGACACTGTGCTGCTTCCTTTGTATCACAATCTGGTCACTAAAAATCTTTTTGAAGGGTAGTATTACACTAAATACTTTTACTGGTCAAAACATGTAAAAATTAGCAAGACATTTAATCCAGTGGACATTCTTTTTTTCTTTTCTTTTATCATTGTTCTTTGAAATTCATTTTATAGGTATCTTGCTTTGGAAGGATTGTGCTTGATGTCAAATTCTGAGTTTTCAGTTGATGCAGTTAGGAAACATCAGGAGACTGTTGTTGGAGCACTGAAGGTGAGGAGGACAGATCTTAGATCTTTTACAGATTTAAGATAATTGCAAGGTTGAGAGCCCTGACTTATTGTCGATGTGTATAACAAAGTGTATTTTTGTTTACTCTAGACTGAACGAGATGTCAGTGTACGTCAAAGAGCTGTTGACCTCCTCTATGCCATGTGTGACAAAAACAATGCTGAAGAGATTGTTTCTGAAATGTTAACTTACCTGGAAACTGCTGATTACTCCATCAAAGAGGAAATGGTAAAAAAAAATGTATTAAACATACTGTAAAATAACTTAATTTAGCAACATATTTTAAAGGAAGGTACTGTATATATACTCCATATGGAATGCTTTTAGTCTCTGCTGCATTTCTCTTCAGAATGAAGATTTCTTTCTTCATTCAAGTAATAGGTGGGTCAAAAGTTTGTGATGTGAGATCATCTCATTTCTGTCTTAGAATTTCACCAAATTATTTTTTTAGGATCTCAAAGCACGAGAGGTTTTTCCAAGGCCTGATTAAAAAGAGGTTCTAATTTTATTTTTCTTTTGCAAGGTGTTGAAAGTGGCAATACTTGCAGAGAAGTTTGCAACAGATTATTCCTGGTACATGGACACTATCCTTACACTTATAAGAATTGCTGGGGATTACGTCAGTGAAGAGGTATGGATAAGTGTCTTTATTGTCCACTAACATGGGTAGCTGGTATAAGAAGCCTTTTGAGAGATTCCCTGTTTCTGAGAGGTGAACACATTCAACTTTAGATTGATTTTTATGGGTAGTTTTATCATTATGTCAGCAGTAAGAACTTCTGAGTGCTCTACATTGCTTCAACAACAAGCAGTGCTTTGTTTAGATTGGAAACAAATTGAACAGAAAGCAAGTCGTTCTTCAATCTATAATTTAACAACATTTCTTGTAGGTTTGGTTTCGTGTGATCCAAATAGTGATAAATCGAGATGACATCCAGGGCTATGCTGCAAAGACAGTGTTTGAAGCACTGCAGTCTCCATCATGCCATGAGAACATGGTCAAAGTTGGTGGCTACATTCTTGGAGAGTTTGGAAATCTTATTGCAGGAGACCCAAGGTCAAGGTATGATTTTCAGCTGTTACAATGCTGAAGCTGATTGTCTATCTTTCGCTTTCCAGGCTGCTTGGTGGCAATGGAAATGGCTATGATACTCAATTATTTCCAGTCTTAAACACTAATTTTTAAATTAAATGCATTTGATGTAATCTTCATTTATTAACAATGCAAATAACAAATATCATTCCAATTTTATATTAATTTGCCGTTTTTCTTCATGACTTTTTATATTTTCAAATTCTTATCACTTGTCATAATTTTTTGTTTTTGGAGTTTGCCACCCCTTCCCTCAAATTGAAGTGCTCATGGAACACATAAAGTTAGCTTTAATCAAAATTTTGCCCATTATGTTATGATCACAATCTAGCTGCTGCCCTCTTTAGTGTCACTTGCTTTTTATTGTCTTTCTTTTAGTCCCATGGTTCAATTCCAGCTGCTGCACAGTAAGTTTCCACTTTGCGCATCCTCCACAAGAGGCCTGCTGATGTCAACATACGTCAAGTTTATTAATCTCTTCCCAGAGATCAAGGGATACATCCAAGAGGTACAAAGGGAGTTCTTAACTTATTTTGTGTGAAATAAAGCTCCTGTTGCAACACACCATTCTATTTTGACTCTATGAAATTACTTTTAGAAATTCCTCGAAAATTGCTGAAATTAAAAAATTTGTCTAACCACTTCATATTTCTCATTTTTTTTAGGTATTATTACTTCCAGCTATTTTACAGAATTTGTTATTTTATTGGAAAAAATTTTGGTTAGAATAACCCTTGGTAATGTGTTAAATTTTATTCCCCCAGATTTTGCGTAGTGATAATAACCTCAAAAATTCTGATGCTGAGATCCAGCAGAGAGCTTTGGAGTACTTAAAGCTTAGTACTGTTGCATCTCCAGATGTTTTGGTAAGGTTAACATTTTGAGCTTTTGTAAAGATCATAGTGGAGTGTTTCTACCTTATTTGTTACATTTTCATTGAATGTTGGTGGTAATAGGACTTTTTTTGCTGGTCCTGTATTGGCTGAGTTAAAAGTTGTGAATTAAAGAGATGATCTATCATTAAGAACACATCAGTGTGAATACAGTGAAACTAGTTTGTTTGAGTTCCCTTGGTTACTGTTGGTTGAAAAAATGTATGGTAAAAGCTATAAAGAGTATGATTATAGAATAAACACGAAATTTCACAAGATGCCGCTCCAAGATCATATATATAGTTAAATGTTACCCATCCCATTTCAGCCTTAAATCTGGAAAACTCTTCTCACTTTGTCACAGAATTGTCCCTTCATTTTCTCCTCATAGGCTACTGTTCTTGAAGAGATGCCACCATTCCCAGAACGTGAGTCTTCCATCTTAGCAAAACTGAAGAAAAAGAAGCAGGAGAAAACAGGAATCATTGAGAAAGAAGAGAAGACTGAACCAGTGGAAAAACCAACTGCTAATGGCCAGGTTCCTGTTACTATTAACGAGGTAGTACACTGTTTGAATATTGTAAAAGTCCATGATTATTGTGGAAAGTAATTCTGAAAAAAAAGGAAAAAAAGGAGGTTTGACACAATGTAATTTAAAAAGAAGATAAGAGCAATTTACATTCCATAAGAAAATTTAAGTTGATATTTCATCATGGTTAGCATGCTGTTCAGACAGTAAATCATGCTTTATTTGATTGGGCAAGCTGTTGACAGGTATGAATTTTAGGTACACTGAGATATCATCCCATGAAGTAGATGCCAAGAGACAGACTACAATTGTAGTTGCCTTCTGAGTTGTTGTACGCTTTTTGTGTATACAAATTTTGTTTAGAAAGACACTGTGTTATAATTTATTATCACTTTGATTTATAAAAACTGCCTGACCTTTCTTGTCTTAACCCTTTACCTTCTAGTATCACTATCTATATGCTCCATACTGTTAACTATACATTTACCAAGGTGCTGGTAAAGAGAATTTGTTTAATAATCAAGAGCTGCTGTAGTTGATGATCATTTCCTCTATTCTCATGACCCAAATGGTTGATTCAGGGGTGATATTTTAAGGAGAAATTATAGAAATTATAGATGTTAGACACTCTTAGGGGTTAAAGGGTTAAATTAATAGCAAGGAATAATAGGAAGATTTTTTTATTGCAGGCTCCTGCCCCCAATCCAGCCCTACAACCAGGTAACATGTTATTAAGTTCTATTAAATTTCTATGCCTTTCACTGCTGTCAAAACACTCATGCTCAAGCACTCCGCTAACCTTCTTTAACGTTGTAACTCGCTTCTTATTACCAGTGACCAATAGGCTGTCATTCCACTGCTGAAACATTTTTTTAAAGTTTAAGTTTTGGCACTTACCAAAGTATTTTGTTTCAGACCTGCTGGGTACAGAGACAATAGTTTCAAAGCCTTTGACAAATAACTTTGGACCTCCCGAGACAGGAGGAGGTGGCCTTCTTGTAGACGTGTTTGAGATGCCTCCAGCCCCCATGGCAGGGAGTGCTCCATCCATAACCCCAGGGGCAGAGGAAAATCTCAAGAAGTTAGTTTTTGTATAATCTTAAATCCTCTCCACAACGGCCACGTTGGGGAGAGCGAAAAATAGCTATTGTAGAGGGTGACTGTTATGGAAAGGTATCGGTGTAACAAGAGACCCGGTATTCGAGGCTATATTTCCTTTTGTTATAAAATGTTTATTGTAGCTCATAAATGTGCAGTCCAATGAAGATATATCAGTAAAGCAGGAAATGAAAAGTAGCTCTGAAATGAAAATTTTATTGCTGAACTTCAGCAATAACAAATGCGATACTGTTTAGATCTTTGATCAACTATTCGTTTACAGGTCGTACAAGGGAGGTGGCCGTTATTTGAAGTTGTACTTCACATATTTAATTTTTTGATATGTGCTCTTTGCATTATCAAACAACTTTTGGGATGAATTATGTAACATTATCAGAAGCATGTTGTAGACAGTGAAGAGGTGATCTTGGTAGTCCAAGAGTCTATGAGATGTGTGTAAAAAACACTAATGACTTGTTGCAGTCCTCTAAAGATGATTAAACAAGACTTACTAAGATTTCCCACATTTTTTTTAACAGATTTGTGTGTAAAAACACTGGGGTTCTTTTTGAAACTGACATCCTACAAGTTGGTATCAAATCGGAATTCAAAGACGATAAAGGTAAGTAGCTTTTATCTCAATATAGAAAACCTCTGCTGTTCAAATGCTTGGTTTTCCATCGGTCCAAAATCGGTCACAGAACCACAGGTCAATGTTATTAGTACCAATAATTTATTTTGATTTTCATATGCGTCGTTATTTGTCTATTCTATGTTTTTTTCCTGTCTTTTTTTTCTTAATGCTAACGTGTTGTTGTTTCTTCAGGGGCTCTTGGTGTGTTCTATGGCAACAAGACCTCATCCCAGTTTGTTTCATTTTCTTCCATGGTCCACTTGCCGGGAGATCTTAATACTCATATCCTTTCAGTCAAAGGCGCTCATGTTGTTGTTGAGTTTAAGCAAAACATTCACAGCAACGGTAACAGGAAACGGCAAAAAATGAGCTGATTTTTCTCATCTTGCCAATAATCCTTAGATCAAGTCTGTAGAAAATTAGAAAATACTTATTTGTCCAAATTTAAAGCAAATGTTTTGGGTTAAGTCTACAAACGGCTGAAAGACGAGAGGGAAAAGTTTCTTTTCTCCCCGTTTGCCATTTGCCCATTAACATTTATTGTGGTGGATTGCAAAGCATTAGCCCTGTGTCTGGCAGGAGATGTAGTCCTTTTTTTAACGTTGTGATAATGATACCACGCGAAACTCCGGCAGACTTGGTAGACTTGTATACTTTATGCTGGCTTGGTGTCCTGTGGTTAAGATTTGTCTACAAATCTTGAGAATCCATTTCTAGAGCGAAACTTGAGTTAAAATCTTCTTTCCCCATTCCACTTAACATTTTAATGACTCAGTTTATTTCTGAAGAATTATCAGACGCACAGGGACCTTTCATACGTTTAGTTTGCATCCTTGACTTTGTTCACACATCAAAGTTGACACCAATTCTCCTCCAAACATTGTGGAGGGCGGAGCACAAGTCAAACAGATGATAAATGTAGAATGTATCTCAGAATTCAAAGACCATCCACTCATAGATCTTCAATTCGGGTATGTTTCTTTACTACGTTTACTTGTAAAGGTTTCGAGGTTAACCTATTGATTTACACTACTCAATTTAAGTATCGCGCAAGACAGTTTTGAATCTGATTGGTCGAGAAACTAGCAAATGTTTCCAAGAACAATCACTAAGCGAAGCAAAAGAAAACTGTAACAAATCGACAGTGGTTTAGCGCGGTCTGTGTCGTTATCGACAACTATATTCGCCATCGCAGTGGTTAAAATGTTATGGACTCACGAGGCGCAGTATTGAGGCTTTTGTCACAGTATCGACGTCAAATAAAACGATTCTTTTTAGTGCGTGACCATTGCGTGACACGTTGACGCGAACAGTGTTGTTGGTACTCTTAGTGACAACGGCAAATTGGCCAATCAGATTGCGCCATTACAGCCACTTGTGGTAAAAAGTGCAATCCCGGATGGGTTCCGGCTCTTTATTGAAAATGGCTCAAATGACAAACGCCCAAGAGATAAGAATGGGTCAAAGGCAAAATAGGAAGGTTGAGACTGGGAATTAACAACACAGATTACAAGTCATGTATTTCACTGATCTTTTCGGTTTTTTTTTTCTGCCGTATTTTGTACCCCTTTCTTAATGAAGGGTATGATTACTATTCTTTTCTGTGCATGCTAATCAGCCCTTTTGGCCTTGTTTTGGGCGAAAATTCTATCGTTTTCACACATACTGTCGAGGCCAGTTAAGCAATTAGGCCAACCATTTCTGGATGAAGTCTATTTGTCAGCCGAAATACATTGGAGTGCCTCACTTAACTAATAGGAAAACGTACAAATACTTTTCGTACTATTTTTGGAATAAACCATTTCCTTTTTGCCTTTCTCTTTTTAGTGTGAACGGCACGAGCCAAAGAATTGTCCTTCCAGTCCCACTGTTTCCTTCCAAATTCTTCGCGCCGACAGATATGAACTCGCAAGACTTCTTTTCCAGATGGAAACAATTGGGAAAGTAAGTAGATTTGTTGTAGTTATGGATCTTCGCTTGAATTAGGAATGCAAAAAAAAAATGGGTGGAATGTAAAGTCTTAACGTATCAGTTGTCTTTCATTAAAGCTAAACTACACAATAACTCAGCGGGAGCTCCTTTCAGCGGACACCCCCAGGACTGAAGGATGTTTCCCTAAAAAGTTCCCTAAACGTTTTTGGCTCTCGAGTGGAAAAATCCCCTTAATGGTGGTACCCCACTGCCTTAGAGTGCTTCATTTGAAAGCGGAGTGATGTTCTTTACAGGTAGATCACATGCCTTCTAAGTACAGGGTCAGCGCTTCTACTGAATGATCTACGAAGCAGCATCTGAATAACTGATTCTAAGCCGGTATCTACAAGGCACAGGCTCGAGTCCCGTGGAAGCCTTACTTTTTCCGGCTTAATTGCATGTAAAATGGCCTCATGTATTAGTGATATTCACAGGTATTCCTGTAGTATTGTTTTCTGACCTAGTTTAAGTTCTTATTCGTCATTTCATGTTTCAGCCCGGATCAAGAGTGCCAGCAGATTTTTAAGGCTAAGTTTCCAATTGATACAGAGACAATTAAGACAAAGGTTAGTAATCAGTATGCCACCCTCAGTCAGCGTAGTTCCCTTGAAGCTGTTGCAAAACTTAAACGACTCACTGGGGCAAACACTAGCATCATTGAGCATCTGCAAATTGTATGAAAAAGGAATCCTGTGTGAATTTGAGTGACAGTGAACAGGGCGACAGGAAGACAGGCCACAATATATAACTAGTGGAGACAGGAGACAAGTAGAATGATGGAGAAGGAACATTCAAACTTGCATTTAACGAAAGTAGAGGGAAAGCAAGAACGCAACGGGAG